AAATTTATTGGAGGGTGCCCGGAATTCTAATGTATATCAAATGATGTGATAATCTTCTTGTAGAATTTTCTCAAAACCGTGACTGAATTCCAAAATTTTCGAGAGCTGCCATGGTATAGCAAGCACACGTAGCAATCTCCCGGTTTCAGACATTTTATGACTCGATGAAAATATGGTGTTGTTATTGTTGTTGTTTTTGACTTTAACTTTAAATTTCAAATTAAATCGCCACTTATTTTTAAACAAGATGGTAAACATTTGTTGTTTTCTGTATTTTTGTTAAGAATGTGATAAAGTATACACTTCTAAGTTTAAGATGACTTTTTAATATTATCGATTATCCATCGTATACCTTAATGCAGTTATAATTGAATCTAAAAAATGAATTATGCAGATATTATTTTCGGCAGAAAACAGCAAATACAAACAAAACAACACACAAAAAACTTACATGCAGCATACATGTGTAATGTTCACAATGTGCTGAAAAACGGCTCTTTATTAATTTCAACATTTCAGCAAGTGACACATTTTATAAAAGAATGGGACAGAAATGTTGTTGTAACCATTTAAAAAGTAGGATTTGTAAATTTGTAAGTTGGATATTTTTTACCTAGTTTGCTCAACACTCAATTAATACATTTTTATATATAAACCTGAGGTACAGAAAATAGACAGAAAACAACTTTCATAGATTGAGATAGAGCCATAATGTCGTAGATATTTGGGTTACAAAAGGAGTTTTTGATCCTGATAATGTTTTAAGTAGGATAAACATAATACAAGCTAATATTCTTTTATATTCTTAAAATTTTGTACTGCCTTAATTCATTTTTTTCAATTTGCAATTATGTAATTATGTTCTTAGTTAGTTTCTGGAGAAAAGGCTTCACAAAGGTGATATCTCTTATTTTATAGATAAATTTGATAATGTGTCACATGTCGCCTTTAAAAAGATTTTGTGGTGATTTTGCGCATACAATCCCGCGTTTGCATGTTGGAACAACAATATTTTATTTATTTGTATACATAGCCTAATTGCTTATTTTGTATAGTCTTATTTTATTGACCTGTCAATTATGAATACATTACAGCACTCATTGAAATATTAAATTCCACTTCGATTTCGTTAGTAAAGTTTACGCGAATTAATATGGAGTATATAGAGGATATTTGTTTGTTTGTGTGTAAGATGAAATTTTATTTCATCGAGTGGGCTTTAAAAACAGTATGTGTGAGTGGTCTATGGTTCGATTCCTACTGTTGCCTTTTTTTAAGACCTACTGTTTTGTTTTTTGTTTTTTTTTTATTTTGTTTTGTTTTTCTTCTTTGCAGTATATATTTTAGAACACTTTTTTTTCTCGGTTTGTGCTGTGATTATGGCATTGAAATGATATTTTTTAACATTTCCAAAAAAAAATTTAATATTAATTTTAAACCATAAATACCATAATTAGTGCAAAATATATGAAAACAAAATGAACAACTTAAAAAAATCATAGCTACAAAGGATGTTGAAAATTACGGAACATCTGAAGTGACATTTTCCAAACTCTCTCCCGGAATTGAATTCGTTTTGACGAGATAATACCGGTAATTTCCAATTAGAAATATTATTTCGTTTTAACGAAATATAAAATTTAAATTACGAAATATTGATTCGTTATTACCAAATATTATTTCGTAATTACGAAATATTAATTCGTTATTACGAAATATTACTTCGTAATCACGAAATATTAGTTTGTCATTCCGAAATATTTATTCTTTGGTAATATCTATACAGAAGGATTTGAAGTTTATTGTTAAATATAAGTCAAGTAAACAAAACATAAAAGTGTGTTTTTTTTCCAATGTAAATCTGTTTATAACTGTTAATTGAGCCATTAGGCTTATAATCGTTATATTTGGTGGCCACTTTCATTAAAATCAGATCATATTGAATAATAATCATTTGATTTTGACAAGAATAAAAAATCCTATCATATTGTATCTTATTTTTAATGACCTATTTCAGTATTTTTAAGCGGCCATTTTGAATTGACATTTTGGAGGTCAAGGTCAATTTTATTTTCTTGGTATCCACCCTCATCGTCTTCAGCATACCCATTGTTAGGTCAAAACACTCAAGATATTACTTGTACTATAAAATGCCTCTAACATTCACATTTTTTAAAATCAGTCCTGTCTTATTCAATAAAATTTAGATCTCCACCGGAGTTCTTTAACGAGATTGTATCAACAGTGTCTAGAGACATTGGTATCAATTATGAAATTTTTGATGTGCGCAGACCTAGTTTAAATTGCTGCAGTACACCGTATTTTTACATAAAATGAACAGTAAACACGTTTTATGAGTACTAAAATTACACGTTATAAGATGCAAATAACTGATTGAGCGGAATAATTAGAAAAAGAACAAACAAGCAATGGTAAGCCTAAAGACATTTGTTTTGCTCCATGACTCCTTATATATCAATTGTACTTAAATATAAAAGACAGACAATACATGTCAAGCCCTTAAATATAAAGTTAACTTTTAACTGTACTTTTTATGTGGGATGTCCGGAGAATTGATATATTTTTCATTTTTGCGACGGACGCGCCCTCAGGCGCGTTCAGAGCTAAGTCATCTACACATGGGATTTCGTTGGCTACACTCGCGCAATGTGTCCTAAACCAATTAACAGCCCAAGAAATAGTACATGAATTTGATCCTTCAAAACTCCCATACTTTGTCTGGATATCTTAATGTCTTCCATATTTAGCCTTTTCAATTTCAAATTAAGTTATCCAAGTTAAAATATGAACGTATATTATTGATAAAAACGTTGTAGTCCCGTAGTATTATTGCGCAATATGCAAATTACTGCTGAAACGATTTACCGCTGTCGAAAAAGTAGGACAGCAAATTATACTCCAATAAAGGTGTAACCTCTGAGTTCCAAGACAATATTAGTAGGAAATAAATATTTCTACATTATACAAAACATAATTATTAACAAATCAAAAGTTTTTCGTGACTCTAGGATAACTCGCGCATTAATAAAAGAAGAACTATTTTCGTGACTCATACCGCGGGTTTAGCTGAATATTCAGCAGTTATTAATATATTAGATACAGTACAATGGCTAGTATAAATATCTATTTTTGAAAATGCATGTAAGACACTTTACCGCCATGTAGTCTTTCATGGTAAGGAACTTATAATATCAGTTCTACTTCCGATTGATTCTTGTGGTTTGTTTACATATTTTACTAGGTCATGATATGAGTTAACCTTCGCTATTCTAAAAATAGATTCTGCTTCACCTGTTCTGATTTTTGGACAGGCGATTATAGGAAGTACACATTAAACATGTAATTAATAAACCAGCGGATTGTAATGCAATACTTTTAGAAATGCTATACAATTGTAAGAAGCAAACAAGTTGAAAATGGAATTTAGTGTGAAGTTGAAAAGGACAACTAAACACTGTAGTGCTTAAGTGACATTTAAATTAAAATAAAAACGATGTGCTCTGGCCTCTACATCTTTACCTTGTAAATAAAAAAAAATCTAAGAAATACACTATTAAACATTTTGCTGATGGTTTTAACCAATTTTTTTTGTAATGAGACATATCCAAGAGAAATAAAAATACAAATGACTTATATTTTATTGTCTGTATGCCCACTATGATATAACACGAAGCAATTCTAAATAGCATTCTCAAATGTATAATGTATTATGTTTGAAGTTTATTTGCCTGGATTTATTCTAGAAATATTTCGTTGATAGTTTTTTTTCTATTTACATATCATTTCTTAGAATAAATCGATAAGGACACTGATTTACAAGTTTGACCAGAGTTTTTAGGCATAAATTTCATTCTGTATTTAAGTGCTTGAAAGTAGAAAATCTGAATTATATCAATTTGGGACACAAAATATATTGCTCTACAAATCTCGAACTTGTATGGAACAAATTTTCTCTGTTATATATTTTGTGTTTTGTTTTTGTTTTGGTTTTTTTTTTCTAAAAGAAGCCTTAATTAATGTCTCTCCGGTTGCATGTCCGTCGCATTCAGTGCTGCAGCACTTTGATTTATTCTAAAACAACAATTTTTTTTGTCAGCGAAAATATACATATCAAGCGTACACATTTTACAACAAAATACTTAAATCGTACATTAGTCATCAGTGCGTAGTTACGCTGAATCAACAAACTTTTCCCTGTGCTTTTCCCCAGAAAATGTCATACTTCTTTGCATAATATTCTATTAAGTACAGACCAATACTTTTTATTGTATTTTACTTTAGCCGTTTCAGTAACACTTCTGCTTTACATTACAAAGTTTATTCGAATCACAGGGCTAAAATGCCAAGGATATACGTAATGGAGAAAAGAAAATGTTTTCATATTTAAACCAAAAATGATATGTATGGATACTTAAAGTAGCGAAATCAAATTTTTTTCTTCAAAAAGAATCGAATATGTGTTACTATTTACAGTTTTTTTCATCTATTTGATAACGTATATAATCGCCGGGAAAATCACTACACAAAATCGCATCGATTGAGTATATTGTTTGATAAGGGTTATCAAAAAAAATCGGACGGTTATTACGGATCGTTGCAGACTGACTAAAGAAAAGCTACTGATGTATTACGGACGTATTGAGAGATTTTGTTAACGTAATCAGTGTTTTGGTATTCATTCGATATATTAATTTAAGGCTTTTAAAAAATAGTTCAAGATAAGTAACATGTATTGAAAATAGTATTTTTTTTTGTTATGAGAAATGTGCCCATTCTGTAACATTGTACAGTAAATTTTCGTTATTATTTAGCTATGAAAATATATAAAGATTTTCTGATAAAGGCAATTATTTATGAAACATTGACCATCTTGTACAAATAGCACTAATGCGGTTGAAGTATAGTATAACAAAAAGCCGGATAAATTTTAGACTGTTTGTAGTGATGCGGAAGAAAATAGTCACTCATTTTCCGCAAAAATGTCTCAAGCTTCAATTAGTAAAGACACCATCAGGAAAACAAGTATGGATATGATAGTGGGGGAACTGACGGTATAATATATTTGACGTCATGTCTGGTGTTGAACTTAACTATGTTAAATTATTTGTTTAGATCTGATGAAAATATACCTTTTAAGATATGAAGTCTTCCCTATTATATAATTTTGTAAGTTTAAAAGCTCATACGCTCCCTTAACCCCCCGCCTCCACACACACACAAATTGGGTTTCTGTTACCGTATTCTGAAGGGTACTTATTCTCAATTAAGCTGTTTAATCATTTACTTTTTACACTAATTTGATTTTCAGTTGTATAAAACAAGTATTTAATTTGGGGAAAATTTACCATTTTAACCATTATTTTATATCTCGTGTGAGCTTCTCGTATTGTATTTGGAAATATATTTGTACTTTCTAGATGAAACATTTTAATCTCTTTTAAAACGAAGGTAATTAACATATTGTCCATAAGTTTTATCCTTCACTTTAACTTTATTGCAATGAAACATATTTTGATTATGACAAAATGATAAAATAAGAAGAATGGACGGCATTGTTGCATTATAATGCCGGTTTTCTGTTAGTCTTTAAACCATAGAGAATAGCCAATTATACGGGCACGATGCTCGTAGAAATTTATGTTATAAAGAAAAAAGAACAACATTTTCCATGAAACTGATATATACAAATTATGTCTTATTCAATATTATACATAATCAAATTACAGTACAATAATCAATCAAAATTATAGAAGTAATCAATATAAATTATGAAATTATACATCATGGGTTGGGCTTTTGAATGTTCGGTGAATTTAGACCATCTTGAATCAAATATACTTGTAATATATTTAAGGATACAGTACCCGTTATTCATTTTCATTTAACATGTAAATTTATTTTTCTAAAGATGTGAATTATAATCAGAAAAAAGAGAACTTTTATTAGTTAACCACAGATATTTAAATTTCCCGATGCAATATAATTGAACTAAGCACCTGTCACTTTGTTGTTTTTGTACTTTTAGGACATAACAATGCACTTCACAATAGGAAATATACTGAATGATCACATGATACAAAACAGAACCAGTGATTGGACGTAAACATTGTCTAAAATACACATTAAATTGACAATATATCTTTAAGATCTCTTTGTTTGAATGTGATATATTCCTATTTTAATAAATATTCTTATTCTATGACCATACCCCGCCATTGAATGTATAATTCTATGAATACGCTTTTAATATAACAACAAAACAGTAAGAATGATAATCTTTGAGGCAGGAAAATGTTGCCAGTCCTGTTCATGTGTGGTACATCTACTGGTAGATACAATCCAAGCTTCCTGGCACCGGCTGAAACAGAATTTAACATTTAAAAAGTATGAAAATGAAGTATATTTAGCAGCAGAGTTTTAAATTTCAGTAGTTTTATATTGACATATGTGTGAACATTACTGCTATGTATTCGTTGATTATGTTTAAGAACGAGATCATCAGCTTATTCAATTCTTTAATATACACGAGTGGCATTATTAATAATTATTCGTTTGCGGCTCATACACACATTTTCATTGAGCTTCCATCTTTAGGGAGGATCTGGGAAAGCAAATAAAATGAAAACTATTTGTCGTTTCTATGTGAATATTTCGAATGACGCACATTTCTACCTTAAAGTGACATTATACCGATTTGAAGGTTTATAGTGAATGAACACTTGAAAGTCAAAATATTGTATGTTTTGTCCTATAGACAGGACTGATTTTAAGAAAATATGAATGCTAGAGACATTTTATAGTACAAGTAATATCTTGAGTGTTTAAATCTAATATGGGTATGCTAAAGACGATGAGGGTGGAAATTCAAAATGGCCGCTTAAAGATACTAAAATAGGTCATTAAAAACTATGATACAATATGATGCAATTAATCATTCTTGTCAAAATCAAATGATTATTCAATATGATCAGATTTTAATGAGATTGGCCACCAAATATAACGATTATAAGCCTAATGGCTCAATAAACAGTTATATACAGTACTGTTTTACTAGCGCGTTAAAGTATATGACTTACTTGACTTATATTAAACAATAAACTTAGTTTCAAATCCTTCTTTATAAAAATTACCATAGAATGAATATTTCAAAATAACAAATTAATATTTCGTAATTACGAAATAATATTTCGTGAACTAACGATAAAATTTACATTTTTAGCAGATATGAATGTTACTAACATTAGTTTTACAGTTTTTTTTTATTTTATGCTTTTCAGTGGATTACTGATTTATCCGTGAAAATCATATTTGATAATTTCACAGTGAAATTTATCAAAATATAATTTCACACTTTTCAATGACGAAACTACTTTCTTAAGATTTTCCCCATGTGGTACCTCAATTTTATTTTTGCTGACCATTCTGACAATGTCAGGCTGTTTAGTGAAAAGCAAAGCTGAAATTGATAAATAACTCAAATGTCAAAAGTAATAAAAAGAAGAAAACTTACTTCTTTTCATCCAAATTACCAATCAGCAAATATCGTCTCTTAATTTTTTTGTTTCATTTTTACAGTATACGATGGATAAAAAGTCATCCTAGACTTAGAAGTGTATACTTTATCACATTCTTAACAAAAATACAGAAAACAACAAATGATTACCATCTTGTTTAAAAATAAGTGACTATTTAATTTGAAATTTAAAGTTAAAGGCAACAACAACAATAACAACACCATATTTTCATCGAGTCATAAAATGTCTGAAACCGGGAGATTGCTACGTGTGCTTGCTATACCATGGCAGCTCTCGAAAATTTTGGAATTCAGTCACGGTTTTGAGAAAATTCTATAAGAAGATTATCACATCATTTGATATACATTAGAATTCCAGGTACCATCCAATAAATTTCCAGGATATCTTAAAGTAACAGCGAAGTTATCTATAAAAATATTACTTGTAATAAATCGAGTGATATATTCTTTAACCATATATCAAAGTCACGTGGTGTGGCTACATAGTAGAGGTGTTAAAATATAATTGTAATATATAATATATATTGTTAGCCATTGAAATAGTATTTAATGTATAAAGGACTTTCAGAAATGGCTATTATTCAGAGCGGGCGCTATGGTGCAGTGGTAACACTGTCTGCCTACAAATCAAGGGGTCGTGAGTTCGACCCCCCCGCTACTCCACTGAACGAATAAATGACTACAACATCGACAAAACCAGGACATCAACACAGAATGACGTAACGATAGATACAAGAGAATACCTTAACGGAACAGGAAACAAGTAACGAAAGTAAAAGATCGACCACCGATAACAGAAGAAAGAACGGAGACAAGAACAACAACAAGCGAACAGAGACGTGGACCGATAACAGAAGAACAGAGACAGGGACTGGTAACAGACTGATAACAGAAGAACTGACAACAAGCGAACAGTGACGTCCACCGACAACAAAAGAACAGTGACAGAGGCCGATAACAGCAGACAGACCTGACAACAACCAAACAGTGACAGGGACCAATAAGAGCAGAACTGACAACAAGCGAACGAGACGAGGACCGATAACAGAAGAACAGAGACATGGACTGATAACAAAAGACCTGCCAACAAGCGAACAGTGACGTCGATCGATAACAAAAGAACAGAGACCGATAACAGCACAACTGACAACAAGCGAACGAGACGAGGACCGATTACAGAAGAACAGAGACAAGGACCGATAATAAAAGAACAAAGACAGGGACTGATAACAGAACAGAACAACATAACAACAAGCGAATAAAGACGTCGACCAATTAAATAGCAACAGAGACAGTGACCGATAACAGAAGAACTGACAACAAGCGAACAGTGACGTCGACCGATAACAAAAGAACAGAGACAGGGAGCGATTACAGAAGAACTGACAACAAGCGAACAGTGACGTCGACCGATAACAAGAGAACAGTGACAGGGACCGATAACAGCAGAACTGATAACAAGCGAACGAGACGAGGACCGATAACGAATAACATAGACGAGGACTGATAACAGAATAACATAGACGAGGACTGATTCCAGAGATGTGAGCCGATAACAGAACATCTGACAACAAAAGAATTGAGACCAGGACCGATTACAGAAGAACGAAGATCACGACCAATAACAGAAAAACGAACACCAAAACCCAAGAGTACTCAGAGAAAGGTGCTTTTAATTAATGTATATTTTGCATGCACATGTTTAACCCCCTCACACATACGCAGTAGGAATCTGAGTAGCCACGTTATATGCTTGCATAGAGTGCCAGATAAAATACATGAAAGCTCTATATCTAGCAGATAGGGCAGGGAAGAGTGTAGTGTTCGCTGCGTTAACCCTAAAAGCCTTAAAATTTTCAGTACTATCTTTAATATTACTTCTATATTACTATTATATTGGCCTACAGAATGTGCGCCATCTTGGATTATTCGGCCATATTGGATTGTTTTTTTTAATTCTGTTTTGGTGTCTAATTTGTTTTTACCTGAACATGCTTTGTGACAAATTCCAGGCTTTGCCTTTCCTTAAAAGTTTTATTTGATATATCATTCGTTTATGATACAGAAATTTGGCGCCTATTTTAGTGGTCATTTTAAATGGCCATTTCAATGGTCAAGATCAAGTTTTTCAATTTGGTATCCACCTTTACCGGATTCAGCATACCTTAAATAGGTAAAATACACCAAGATACCACTTGTGCTGCAAAATGCCTCTAGCATCTTATAGGGAGCCAAATTCTCAAAGTCAGTCCCGTCTTCTAATTAATTTTAGTTTTATAAATTACTTCGCGTTAACAACAAATAACTCGCCTAGCTTAAGGAAATTTCGGTTAATAATCACCGGAATTTATCTAAAACTTTAAATTCATATAAAAAGAGGGACAGTTATTTTTTTATAATTAAGGTAGGTTTATATTCTATTCTAAACATTTTCCATTGTTACCTGTTAGTCAATCATCATTTTGTCGTATTATAAATTTTTGAAATATATACAAATGTAGTCAAATCAGTCCAAATTGACAATGAAAAAATAGCACATCGAACAGTGGTTTAAGATTTCATTTGTTATTGAAGGCATATTACAAATAATTTCCCATCTTTCTCATAATTTTAAACAAAAATAGAAAAGAATGTTTTTACTCAAATTAGTTACTATACGTGATATACAATAATTCAAACATAGTTAAAATCGCCTACGGTTTAATCATAGCACATAAAGTCATGATGTGCATCACAGTACATGTATATACATATTTACATCCATTTAATATACAAAAATATACACATGTTTTTATTATGTGACAAAAAATATACAATTCATTGTTTATTTAAAAATGGCATAGACCATTCCATTAAGATTAAGTGCTTTTACGAAGCAAAAACAAAAATACTATTGATAGATTTACATTGTAAGTACTAAACTGATTAGATCTGCTTGTTGTTTCGTCAATACGTTTCTCTGACAGTAGAAATGGCTGGTCCTTTCAGTAGGGGTGACACTATAATAAACAAGACCTTTACCTTTTTACCTTTATCATAGTGACAGAAACACGTGCGAAATACACCAGGTGAAGCAGGACCATAGTTTGTCCTTACCACAAACAATATTCTATAATTGTTTAAAAAGTATTGGACCTAAAAATACGGTATTCATTGCACATGGTTTTATTTATTTTTTGTGTTTATTTATTAATTGTTACAAAGCAATGCTATGTGAACATCTTTGAAAATAGCACCATTTTGCTTAGAGAATCATATTGTATAACATATAAAATTTCATTATTTTCTTTTATTTTGATGTTATATAATAAAGATGTAATACGCGAAAGTAAATTTCCATTTTATGACACAACTGAGATAATTCAAGAAGTCATTCGCTATAATTTTAATGAAAAATTTCATTGTTTTAGCATGATTTGATAATACATTTAGATTCTATCAAAAGTAGGAGGAAAAACACTTGAGAAATAGTAGAACTACATTATAAAATGAATACAAAACACTATTCAGTAAGGTACCATTTTTACTTGGACTATAGCTCTAGCAAAAATGTTAAAGGTCATTTTTCTAACTCTTTGAAAGATTTCAGTTGACGCATCTAATTTTAAGATTTTACTATAACTCACTACGTGTGTTATTACTGTGTTAATGAAATCAATCTTATCATAATAAATAACGATAAGATGATTCTACCTTATTTCATGCGATTCTACTAAGCTTGTGTCAAATGGAAAAAAATAATAACACTGGAACCATATAACTTTTTATGAACACTTTCATGTTAAAAAAATGATACAAATGCATGATTTATTAAATCATGACCTGTTGCTTACAGACAAATATACCACACACAGTGGAAAGGATCACCCAGCTAAAGAACTGACTTATGTAGTTGTCAGCTGTCCTAGTTATGGTATTCGAGATTCGTATGCGCTCATATCTAAAACTTACGCTCAGCAAAATTTCAGTAACGTTTTATGCTTTAATCAACACTTCCAGATCAGCCCTTAACTGAGGACACATTGATACGAAAACGCATTACAAAAGATCCTGATCTGTGTTAGATTCAATGTCGCTCCGCATTTAAATTACAAACATACGAGAATAATGTTCCTTAAACAAAGGAGTCGATTGACTTGCGCAATTTGTACCTTTTAGTACTGGAGTCCGGCGTTGCGAAATCTAATCCATGAATGAATTTTGATCGTAGAAATTATCTTTGTTGTATAACTTGTTATAGAATGTTATTGTCCTTTATTTCACATTAATATTATGAAATTAGTCTGATGTCCCTGTCCCTAGGTAATCACATACAAAAAATAGAATGATAAAATGGTCATAAAGCCAATTAGTCGAGTTCGAATTACAGAGAAAACAAGTTTATGTTTCTATTATATAACTTAATTTAGATGTTTCGTGCACAAAATGCCATAAAGTATGTAAGAACTGATGAAAAAAATAGACAAATATCTTTCTTTTATTTCTATAAACAACATAAAGATATTTTTAAAAAAAATGCAGTCACATAAAATCAAGTCGTTCAATAAGCAGTGAACACCTCAAGGAGCATTTTTATAATTTCCGTTAGTTATGTAAATCCATTTGTGTCTTTAATAAATAAGGTATTAAAACAGTCTTTTAACAATTTAGCAAAGTAATATTGAAATAATTGAAACATAATTACCATAAACGCTGTATATTAATTGAATTAGACAAGTCCAAGTATTGACTTATATTTATTTTTATCGCATTGAGCACACTTATTGGCCAATCAATACGCCTGATTCTTGTATAAAAACCACTTTCAACACTCTTCTCTTTCATTTCAGATTGAAGATTTGAGCTTTAGAGATCATTGGCAGAATGTGAATGAATCAACAGATAAATTTATTGCAGGAGTGTTTGCGAATATTAGAGGAAAATGTTTTTTTATTAGCATTTGAAATGCATCGCCTACAGATGTGAAAACTTTGTTTCCTAAGATATGTAAAATATACTTGTATTTGAATGCTGTGAAAATTATTTGTTGAAAAAAAAAGTTCTTCGACACAACATGTCGTATAACAACAGTACATCGAATTTTGATGTACTTGCTAACATATCAACTGAGGGTCCAATAATGTTTGAAACATTTGAAAATAGCAGCAACATTACGGAGTGGGAACCACCGCCGTTTGACGCCAGCGTCTCAAATATTTTACTGGCAATAACTCTCGCGCTTCTTGACATTCTTACCATTTTCGGAAACCTTTAGGTACTTTTGGCGTTTGTAATGGAGAAACGTCTGCTGCAGCCGTTTAATATGTTTATTTTGAATTTGGCTGTGACGGATTTTAGCGTTGCTATTACGGCGATGACGTTTTATACATTAGATACGCTGTTGGGATACTGGCCATTCGGGACAATCATGTGCGGCGTCTGGATTTATTTTGACTTTGCAATGACATTTGCCTCAGTATTTACACTTGTTGCAATTTCAGTTGACAGGTTCTGGTGCGTCACATGGGCTATTCATTACAGAATGCACAATAATAAAAATAAAACAGCACTCATAATTGCAATCATATGGTAAGTAAATATCACTATTTTTATTTTCTAATTTTCCTTCACAAAAAATATTTCTTCAGTACTGCCATTGCATTGAATCATACATCTTAACGTGATAAAAAAAATTGACATATTCAAAAATTGAATTTTATCTGACTGCTTACCAAAGAAATACTTTTTTATAATTGAGGTAGAGATCATACCGTTCACTGCATATGACTCGCTGCGAGTGTCAGAGTGATATGCATTGCCAAACATGTGTCTGCAAGCGTATTTGTATGGATTTACGTTCATTAAACGCCGCCTTTCATGGTTGATCTTGTTTATCATATTTTACATAAGAAATGTTTTTAAAATTTTGTCCTTTATGGAATATTTCTCGATATGAATATCAAAAGAACTATTTCACTAACAAAGTAAAAATATTACACCGCAATGAGAGCTATAATCTTCAATTACTTTTGCCCTCGCAATGTTAACGCAGCCGTTTAACGTTTGACGTCATTTTTATATGCGTCTTTTTCCCACATTTTCTTTCTAGAAAAATACCTTTCTTGTCCTTTTAGTTAGTAAGCATTATATAGTAGAAAATTAATATGAAATACGGATACGAAATATATCTCACATCGAAATTTATTGTTCCCAGCATTAAATTTTGTTAAATAACATGTCTTTTTTAAAGGAAAAGAAAGCTGTAAATGATTTTATAGTGTTCCAACACAGGTTGTCTTAAAAGTTGAACAAAAATGAAACACTTTTTTAATAATAAATTATGTATTTAAAAGAAATCTGTAAAACGGGAGAACCCTCGGAAGCAATGACAACAACATAGTTACATGGAAAGTAACTCGTTTTGATTTAATCTGTTCACCAGAGATAATAGGAAATGGCAACATCTGTCACGCCCCCTAGCACCGGTTTAAGCAGTACATTCAGACTAACGTGCTAAAATTAATAATCCCGAATGTTCAGAAAAAATATAACACTGAAGTAAAATACGGGACTGATTCACCCCTTCCTGCCATACTTAAAAATCGAATCATTAAGTTATTCGTGCTTACATTAATGAGATTTATCTATGCTTCACTTCTTTAGAAATATTTTGTATGATTCATCAATTAGGAAAAAGAAAAAACTTGCCCGAAATCAAAAAATAAAATAAAAATCAGTCTTAAAAGATCAAAAAACGTATATACAGAAAATATTCTACGTGTGTTTTGTATTGCAGAGTACCTGCCTTTATCTGTGTCTGATTTGCTTTTGATGACGCAGTACCGAAAATTTATTGCATTGCAAGCACTAATGTTTTTACGCGTTTAACTAAAAAATATAGTTCTTACGACAGAACTGAATGCATTTATGTTTTTCTTTCGGGAATTATCAAATTAATTTAATTACTTTTTCTCACCTTTGTAGCACATTTTTTCAAAATAAACTTCCTACGCTGTAAAAATATCTTCTCAACTAGACCAAAATGCTAACAAAATTGTTAAATCCCTATAAAATTTATTTGTTTCCACTATTTAATCGACTTTGATGTTTTCCTATACAGAGCGCGCACGTGCAAATTATCAATCACGTTGCAAAGGGATTAACGAACAGTAAAAAGATTTTTATATATTTGCAATTATTATTATTTCTTAAATCGGTACAAAATTTCAATCGTCAGGAGTTTCATGTGGAATTGTTGATAATTAATCGTCATTTATAAATTGGTGTCAACAAACAAAATATGAAACTTGTCTTTTTTAGACGGTTTGTTATTGCAATTTGAAAGTCTTACTAGAAATATAATTTAGCAACACCGAAAATTACAACATTGTTCTTTCTTCTCGGTTTTTGTAATGAATACAATACATGTATATAATTTCATATGTGACAAAAAGGACGTCGAAATTTGCTAATAGCAATTTGTTTTCATGTAGGCGTTCCTCGACAAATAATGTAAATGAAAATGAAAGTTTTTATTATTTTCAGGTTTTGTGTTATTGCAATTTGGACACCACCATTTATAGGAGACCGTTTGAAGCACAGCGAACCTCACTCGTGTATTTGGGAACCTAACGATAACACTGAATTTGTTATATTTGTAGCAGTAATTGGCCATTATATACCATGTGCCATTATGGTTTTCTGCTATATAAAGGTAAATTTATACTGATTAATCATGATTTTCTGCTATATAAAGGTAAATTTATACCACGTGAAATCATGGTTTTCTGTTATATAAAGGAAAATTTATACCATGCGACATAATGTTTTTTTGTTATGTAAAGATAAATACATGTATATACGATGTGCCTTCATGATTTTCTTCTATATAAATTTACATGTTTTATCATGGTTTTCTGATATATATGAAGTTCGTCGATAGTTGGGACTGTTAACTTTTCATCACGAGTCAGAATCATATACACGATCTTGATTAGTCTAAAGACATTTTCCTATACCTAAACAACAGTAAAAAGGCAAATTAGAAATAATTTTTTAAGCATACGCTCGTCTAAAGTAAGTCTATTTATTAATGTATTTATCGAATAAAAAAACACTGAATAAATTACTCATAAAAATGTATATGAAACTCAATAATTGTCACACATTTTAACATTTTTTTTCTCAAGGTCTTTACTGTTATGAGAAGGCAAACATCGTTCGTGGCCAGATTTGCCGCGAAAAATACTGCTTCAACGGCGAGGGAACCCACACAGTCAGAGGTACCAAATCCGCAAGTCAGTGTAATCGAGACGCCTCAGTTTGATGACATTAGCACAGTTGAATCTTCTAATGCTTGTTATTTAACCCCCGCAACCACAACAACCACTATAAGTCCCAGCTCTTCTCCTTCCCCTCAGCCAAAGCAAACAGGCAATGGTATGGCAACAAACAGATCTCAGACGGTCTCTCAAAATCAGCAACGCGAAAGAAGGATCTTCATCACACTATCATACGTTTTGTTCAGCTATTTGATATGTTGGTTCCCATTCTATATAGCGTTCGACACATACGCCTGGAAGCCTGACCTGGTACCAGCCGGATTATATTCGTTCTTCTTCTGGTCAACTTACGTTAATTCTACACTCAACCCATTTATCTATGCTTTCACTAACACTGAATTCCGTTTGGCGTTCATAAAAGTAGTCAAGAGGATTTGTGGATGTTCAAAACAGAAGAATACAACGTGAAATATCTTAACTGCAACTCAAGTTATATATATGTATATATACATGCAGTTGTCCATTGCAGGTACAATTTATAGCATGTACGCATATCAATCTTATACCCGAAAATCAGTGCTGCCGAGTGTCTTTGAGGGTATAAATTCATTGTATCAAAAAGATTTATGAAATGATTTTAAGCATTATTGTTTTAATGACCATATTCAAACACACCAAGATTGTTATGCATGCTCATTGTTTTTATACATTTTTCTTGAATGGTCAGCCTAATTTGATTGTCAGTATTTGTAAGTAGAGTTCTACATCCATCCATCCATCCATCCATCCATCCATACTGAATGAATGTCAATTCAAAAATTTGATCGTTTACATTTAAAGATCATATCAATCTGACAAAAGTTCAGATTTACTTATATTTTAATGTAGATCTGATGACAACCGTATATGTGTTGCCTTCTTTATAATTGGGATTTCCCTTGAAAGCTATTTTTAGCCATGCAATCAAACCAGTATTTACATAGGCATTAGGAGAAGTATCAAAATACCGTCATCCGTGGAAGTTAAATAAATTGTTGCTTTTTGTAAGAAAAATAATGTTTGAAGTAATTTTTAACAAATTAACTTGAAATAATAGTGGCAATTTTTAATGGGCAAGATTTTTTTTTTCCAGTGTACCTGTCGGCTATATGGACAACGCAATGTTTGTTCTCGAAATCGTTAAAATTATCTACTCAGTATTAGTTAACCCAGGGTTAAAATTCAAAACCACATCGCTTTCAAAATTATGAAAGCTCGCCGATGATTGGCGGTGTGAATGGTCACCAGAATCGATTTCGTATTTGGTCACGGTCAGATCTAAAAGCGGAGCGTTATTTAGAGATAATTTTAATCAGAGGAGAAAATATGTTCTACTTTTAAGTCTGTTTTATATGTAGTAATTGATAAATTTTATCAATGTCATGTTGATAGTCTTTGATGTATACAAAAATAGCATCTTCAACAGGAAATCGATTTACAGAACTCAGTAATTTGGATTCGTTTATAATGAGGCTCACTTAAATACCAATGACAGGTAATGAATTGTGTTGATCATTACCAAATATAACACCTGTGCGCTTTTTCCACATTAACAAGCGAATATGACCATATCTATGACACATTCTAGCATTAATGAACTGGATCTTTTTTTTAATGCACATGCCATTTAAATGCTCCGATCTTCAAAGCAATAAGGACTATTTTTCACATAATGGAGAATATGGAAATAGACTGATTATGATGTTTGTGTTGTTTTTCACGGAGTTAAAGTTGGAAAGTAATAAATGTACATGTATAAAATTTCAATTTAATAAAAATATAATGTATTATATATGCCCTAAAGTATAGCCTAATCTGTATTTACCTACATTGAATCACGGCTTTTGGGTGACATTTAAATCGTTGCTGAATTGATCATTTTATTTTAACATCGAAATTTTTCACTACAACGTATTTTTAAAAGGCAAATTTTACCTCCGAAACAAATAAAAATTCCCTTTATTTAGAAATGACAAAGATGAGCTTCAATTAAAGCCGGGCAATTCCGTTTAAGGGTCTTATACGAATTGGTTTGTTTTAATTTTCTAGAGTTCTGCTCAAGGCCGTCGTCGATGGTCCGGCCGGTCCGGCCTTGGCCGGACCAATATCTTAGCCAAAAATGAGTAAAAACAAACAAACGAAAAAAAAAAAACACGCATCGCTGATAAGCAATTTGACACTTAACTGGCCCCTTATGCAATACGCGGTTACATACAAACATGACGCAAAGAAACAACTGGACACTGTTAATTGACCAGGTATATGTAGGGGTCCTACGAAGTCAAGTGTGAAGTTAATTGACATCGACGTGGCTTCGGATTGTTCACCGTATGCATTCATATATGCATTATGAATATCTTAAACTGGTATGCCTGAATTCTCCGAGAACTTGATAACATTTTATTGATTGTACACCGTGTAACCATTCAAAAGTCAAATTTTCATCACATATCCGTGCCGTTTTTGCGACTCCGTGAAAACGGTATTGCACGGCCGTGCATATATTTTGACCTCATTTGCGTTATACGCAATAAATGTTAGCGTTTTTCTATGGGCGTCAATAAAAAAATGTTGTTGTTTTTTCACTTCAAAAGGTACTTATTTTTGGTATGTAATAAACAGAATATTAAATTACTGAATTTATTGGCAATGATATTTACCGAGACATCTTAGAAATGCAGCTTCAGCTGCTACGTTCACAGTTTGACAAATCAGAAAATAGTACTGTTACTCTACCTGACGTTTTGAAATTTGTGTCAAAACAGTCGGTGCTAGAACAAGCACTGTTCTCTGAGGTCGTTGTGCTGTTAAATATTTTGTTGATTGCTATTAATGCTACCAGTGAAAGGACATTCTCGGAGCTCAGAAGAATAAAGACATACCTGAGATCGACAATGTCTCAAGTACGCATGAACAATCTGACAGATTCATTCAACTTACGTGTAATTGCCGATGAGTTCACAACCACCAGAGAACGACGGCAATGTGTTTTTGGAAAATTTACATAAAATGAAACTCTGTGTTTTGTAAGATTATTGTGAACAAAATACAAGTTTCTGCTAAACAAAAAGCGATTATAGTTGACTCTTTATGTACTATTCTTCCATCATGGCATCGATTGTTATTTAAGCTTATACCATTGTGTGATTTATGTTAAACAATAATTCACGTAGTGTAATATTTCTTGTATTTGTTTTACTATAATTATCAGATAAAAATGCATCTAAAGAATTATAACAACATCAGTTATTGTTTATTTTTCATTTGCCAAATATCAATTACATGTATTCATCTTTAATGTACACCTGCCCGTCCGTTATGCAAACCTTAAATTTCACCGCTTAAATCTGTAAAAAAATCACTGACATTTTACTATAAAATGCACTAGCGACAGGCTGTAAACTGTGCCAAAAATACGGGAAAACGCCTCTGAGAGCATCCTAGAATACAAAATTTTCCGGGGGAGCATGCCCCCGTACCCCCCTAGATTCTGGCTAAAACATACCAAATTGGCCGCACCAATCACAAAATCGTGACGACGGGCCTGCTGCTTTGTAAACGCTTACATGTCTTACAATATGTCTTATTATATATTTGTCAAGTTTTGATGCGTCAAGTCGGTCATACTTATGCCATGTAATTGCTTTATATGGAATAAAGTAAATAAAAAGTTTCGTGCATTTCGTCCTTTGTTGATCATAGATTTCATTGCTTAACACTGTTGAAAACTGCTTTAAGCCGTTTTAGTTTCTCTGGTCATTGTTCCTAGTTTTTAGTTGTATTTAAATCTAAAATTAAAGACTTGAAGCAGTCATTATTATTATGACAATCAGTTTTGTGCATACATAATCAGTTTGGCTTTCCATTAGTTAATAACGAAAAAAAAAAAGACAAAATATTTTGAAATATGTAACTCCTTATAGTTTTTCATACTAGAACGTTTTCAGATTTCACAATTAAATTCAAATATGATTTAGTGAATAATATTCAATTTTCAGATATTATTTTCCAGAGGTTAATATGGATTTTTTTTAGCAATATCAGTTAGCTATGTAGCATCAAGCACGGGAAAGGGCCTTCCAACCACTCTTTTAATCTCATATAATTTGACTTACGATCTAAATTAATAAACATAGGAAAGCACAACATTTACTACTTAATCTTTAGAAATAGAGAAAGCTTTACCAAGGTTTTAATCAAATTACATGAATTTAATCGCTTGGTATAACTAGAAAATGATAGGAACTACCTTGGGCGAAAGGAAGCGGTAGGAAGCAAATGCAACTATAATAATAATAATAATAATAATAATGATAATAATAATAATAATATGGATTTGAAATATGTTTTCCTTTATATAACAGTTTGAAGACTTATAATATCAGTAAAAAATAACTACATTTTTGTATTATTTGAAAATAAAACTATTCAATTAACTTCTTATTTTTATCCATAGTTATTTTACTACGAGATCGTAGAAGTTCCTTTCGCTCTTAGTAAACTTTACTAAAGAAACTCGATAGTCAATAAAAATATTTCGGTAATCTTATTCAAAATGCCATGGACAATACGAAAGAAACTTAGGATGACAGCCGGTTTATACAGACATAGCTTGCATATGCACAATCGGTTATTTGAAATATCTCAATAATATTGTAGGAGGGAGTAACGTAAAATTAAAAATTGTTGTCTAATATGTGCCATAGTTCATCTCGTTATCTTTTTAAACAACTTAATTTTGTGAAATTTAGAGAGAGGGTCAAATGTTTTAAGCCTGCTGAATATTACAAATAGCTGTCAGATATCATTTCCATTTACATCATTTCTATTGAGTTTTAATAATCCTTAATAAAATTTGCTTTAATATGTCATGGAAATTAACCTTACCAAACCAATGGACAAAATCAAATACGTATTTATATCTTTTTTTGCTTTAATATGTCATGAAAATTAACCATACCAAACCAATGGACAAGATCAAATACGTACTTTACTTGTGTTAATCTCTTTTATGAACAGAAAAGAAAAGAGAAAAGACATTTAATATGTCATCTTGAAACTCATTTAAGTACAGAATTAGGTTCAACCTTTTCGTAAATGTAAGGGACTTATATTCTTGCGACAGAACAATGGCATAGTAATGTCATTGGTAATAATCTTAAAAGCCTGATTAGTTGTAACAAAAAATGTTTTGCCTGTAACATTAAAACACTTATTGAGATTACCTTTCACATTAGCTTTGGATGGTGAAATACTTGCATACTTATAGAATTATGGCAAGTTGTTTTTGTCATCTACTCGCATTTCAATTCACTTTTTATGAGTGTATTGACAGGAGACATTCCATAAAGTTTGTTTTTGTCTGTTATACATTTTTTCACAAACGTTCAAGATGGTGTACAACAATAAGGGTAAAACGCACGGTATCGATGTTTTCCAAACATACCACCTAAGCTTTATTTACATTTGGTTGAAAGGAAATACATTTTGAAATACTGAAGAATAAATTGTTATTAT